AAGGATTATTCATCATCATGGGTCTGACAATACTATAAAATGACCCAAGACATTTAATTTGATCATAATTACTAATATCACAAACCTTGGCTTTTGGGCCAACTTGGATTTTCCCATTGTTGATTAGAAGAGTAGCCTGCACCTGTGCCTCTTGTCTTAAGGGATTACCTGCTGAAAAGAACATAGGCAAAACATGTAAGCAAAATACTGGTTTGTTCTTGCTGTCTCTCTGTCTATTTATTTCATTATCACAGTAGCAACTTGTTTAATTAATATATCTTCAAATTAGCTTGAGAGTATAAATAAATTACTACTGACCTGTTGTTGATATAGTACATGTGCTGCTTGGTGTTGCTGTTGCTGGGGTGTCTGGAACCTCTTTATTTGGCTTTTGATAAAGAAAATATCTAGTTTAATCTTTTTAGACAAAAGAAGATTTTTCTCACACATACTAAATTACTCAGGCGTTTTAATAAATTCGAGTGCTAAATTAAAAAGCCAATTAAGTATAAGAACAAAGCAAAAAATAATTTCTTAAAAGAAAAAGATGAAAAACAACTCACCTTCAATATAACCTTTACTCTTGCTTTGTTTTCAAACTTTCCTTCTGGAAAATCAATGTACTCCTGCCAATCCTGGTCAAACTTTTGTAGAAAAATCTCTTCTTTGATATTAAAAGCAGTTTTAATAACATTGATTACTTCATGGTGCTCTCCAGAGCTGGTCAGCACTTTTTTGGAGACTCCAAACTCTACGAGAATCTGTTCATACAAAAGAAAAGACATTGTTGAAAGATAAGGTGGGAGATAACGGAATATCAATTGAAACTGACTGAAAGCTTCTCAATTGCAAGCTAATAGTTTTGAGTTTTCGTCAGCGAGTTTCTAGGCACATGTTCAGTGTGACATTGAAACTTTAATAAAAAATAACTCGAAATCATCATCTCCACAAACACTGTGACCTTTGTTTTACAGAGTGGGATAAAAAATACTGCAGTGGAAAACCGATGGAATTGGATTCTTTTTCGTAATTTACTATTTGCTTGAGTTCATTGCGCGGGGGTCGAGAATCAGCAATTCAAACTCAAAGAAAATTTAAAAGAGCTTTTATATTAAGCAAAGAAATTAAAAAAGTAAAATGATTGGAAAGGCTATTTGGCCGTGTGTGTCCTCGCTAGTCGAATATCAAGACCCAAAGCTCAATAAAACAATAACAATTCAACTGATAATGAGTTGGAATATTATTAAAACATGAAATCGGCGCTCGACTTCGAACAAGCAAATATCATTGAAATATCCACTGAAAATCAATGCAAAAAACATACCATCCATCTTTAGAATATTTACTTCATCTTTATCGATTTCAAAACTATAATAAATAACTCTTGAGCTCTCAGTTTAATTAGAAAAAAATATAAATCAACACAATACCTTAATGTCGTCCATCTTGAATCCGCCTAAAGCACATGGGTGCGACTCACTCGCCTCAGTCCTCGCTCGTCCACGAATGTCAAAACCTTACTAATCCCCCACCCCACGGGCAAAACTGATGCAACAAAAAACAACAAATCCCCCACCCCCTCGGACACAAAAAAGTGCCAAAACCCGTAGTTACCCCCATCAATGCCCCATACTTCCCCGGGGTGGGGGGG